TGAAATACGCCATCAGAATCTCCCATCTCGGCTGATTTTTGATAATATTCGAATGCCTTATGTTCATTCTTTTCAACCCCAATTCCATCTTCATAACAAGTACCAACCTGAAATACGCCATTAGAATATCCCATTTCGGCTGATTTCTGATAATATTCGAATGCCTTATGTTCATTCTTTTCAACTCCAATTCCATCTTCATAACAAGAACCCACCTGAAATACGCCATCAGAATCTCCCAACTCGGCCGATTTTTGATAATATTCGAATGCCTTATGTTCATTCTTTTCAACTCCAATTCCATCTTTATAACAAGAACCAACCTGAAATACGCCACCAGAATATCCCATCTCTACTGATTTTTGATAATATTCGAATGCCTTATGTTCATTCTTTTCAACTCCAATTCCATTTTCGTAACAATAACCAATAAAACGTATTCCATTTGCATCACTCATCTCAGCTGATTCTTGATAACATTCGAATGCTCGTTTTTCATTCTTTTCTACCCGTTTACCATAGAGATGACAGATTGCAAGAATAAATTGGGCCATGTAATTTTTTTTATTTTTTAGATACTGATTAATTACATCTTCCGGTTTTAGCTGTTTTTTGGTCAAATATTCTTCTAATATGACAAAAATCATTTCATTATTTTTTCCTTTTAATCTTTCCTTGTTATACAAATTATATAACTCTTCGGCAATATCATTGAGAAAATCTTGTGATTTATTGTCATTGTATAAGGGCGATGGTTTCAAGTTAGATGACATTCTGAAGCATTTTTTTAGAAAATACATTACATTTCGTGTGATATAAGCATTGTGTATGTAACACAACGCATAATTAGGGTAGATAAGGAATGATTTACGATATATAGTACGTACATGCAAACATCTTTTTAATTAAAATCCATAAAAAAAAATTTAATTATAAAATTAGTAAAAATAAAAAAATTTTTAAACATTAAATTATTTAATTAAATTGTTAGATAGAAAATTTTAATTTTTTAAACATAATGAATGTTAGAATATGGTAAAAGACCAAAATCAAAAAATATGCAAGTTTTTTTGAAATCAATAAAATATCTTAAAAAATTTTTTTAAAAAAAAAACATCAAAAATCAAATGTTTTAAAGAAGTTATATGTTTTCATGATTATAAAGATCATATACTTTTCTTAAAAAACAGATCTTTTATTAGCATAGCAAGTGGAAACTTTATGTAAAATATTAAAAAATTTATTTAAAACACATATCATTTAAACATCTAATTAAATACAACTACATTACTTATAAAAAATAATTAATAACACTCAAAAATACATAATATATAATTTATCAAATAAACTTTTTTAAAATTTTTACTTGTAATAAATTAGAATAAATTTACATGGTTTATTAAATATAAATGATGATTTGTAATTATGAATGTTTATAGATTATTTTTTAAATAAAGATAATAAAACCAATAGGTTTTTTTTATAAAAAATTTCAAAGACCCGTGCAGAGTTAAATAAAAATATTACGTAGTTAGAATTAACCAAATAAGAAACGTATATATAATACCACCATTGTCAATAAATTACAATCATTTGGAATTTCTTTAAGTTTCGAATATCACCGTGTGAAATAAGAAATATAGAAAATAAAAATTTTATTAATATGAAATTGTATATTATAATTTTATGTAAATAATTGTGCGTTCCTATAAAACAATAATATTTCTATTTTTTATCAAAGCATTATTTGTAATAAATAAAGTCTCCGGCAAAAGTTAACATCATGAAATATTTTTATAAACCACAATTTAAATTTTACATTCAGATTCATTGTATGTAAAATCCACAGTCATGTTGTTTACGTCTTTTGACATGGAAACAGTAGCAGGCATCAAATATTTAGCATAAATATTTAATGTTTAAATTCTTAAAAAATTGGTTAATTTATGAATCAATTATAAAATTACAGATAATGGTATCATCATATCGTTTAATCAATTTTAACGAAAAGGTTTACAGATCTTCCTATTAAGAAAATACTGACTTCACTTTGTATACACTATGCTATGTTTTAATTAGTTCAAATAACGCGTGCCAAGGGTAAACTTTATTAAGAGAATTTAAATGCGGACAGAGGCTTTCTTTCACATTCGATTCCAAGTAAAAATTATTCTCTCTAAAATATTGTAAGTAAAACCAAATTTAATTTATTTATTCACTTGGAACCTAACAACTTTCATCTTGCAAAATTCATATTATTCTTTGTTTGAGCAATTAGAGCCCTCGTGAGCTATTAAACTGAAAAAATCAATTATTTTATATGAACTATTTATAATATTATTGTAGGGAATAATGAATGATGGTTGGAATAAGACACGATCATGCATCAAAAAGTCTATTAAGAGGGATTTTCATAATGCGATATTAGATAGTTTAGGATACGTTTTGACCAATATCTTACATTGTTTTCTTCTTGTGCGATTGACTCGAGTTTATTGGTACATCATTGGATGTAAGGAGCTTTTTTTTTTAAATTTCTCTTTCTTATTTATTACTGACCCTCTCCTTATATTTTAAATCCATAAATTTGTCAGCCTCCTAATCTTCTAGTGATATGGGCGAAGAGTTAGCATTGATACACTGATTTATAATGGAGCTATGTATATCAACATTGTGGCTTCCTCAGGAGAAATCTCGTTTGTGACTTCCTAAAATATTATTATAATTTAACAACTCCGACTCTAAGTTCAACATTCAGCATCACCATCCCTCCTATCTTTCTCCGACTCCTCTATTCTGCTCTTAAGCGTAATATTCTTTTCTGTAGCCCGCTTTAATTTTGTATTCTCGACCTTGACCCCAGAATTCTTCTTTTTAAGCTCAGTAATCTCAGCTACAAGCTTGGAATTTGTTCTAATAAATAAACCTTGGATTGTGTATTTGCCATTGTTTTATACAAGATACGAATATGTTCAAAAGTTTAGATCAATAAAATCATGTACTATTAAAAACCGTGAAGATTTTCTTCAGAGTGGCTAATCAATCGTAATGGGCTATAATTACATATTTTATATCAACTTAATTAAACAGCGATAAATTGTAGTTGTGCTATTATTAGCTTAACTTTAGAAACCAATTTACATTATCAACCCCCTTGTATTTAGCGATTAAATAAGATCATATATTTTTAGACATGATATGTTATCGTTTTACTCATGTAACGATATTTCATGAAAAACTACATCATATTCTTTGTGCCATTACGCACAAATCATTATATCAACTGACTATAATACGAGATTAGGAAAACTTTATTTTTTAGCTTCACGAGAAATTACAAGTAATCATTAATTTTGGATGATTATATACACACTCGTGATTAAAATAGTCTTTATCATTTTATTAAAAATCACTTAATAAAAAGCCTAATTCAAAGCCTATATGAGGATGGGTGGAACATTACCTACAGTGATTAATCTAATATGCAATCCTGTTTTAAACTCTCCATGTTATCCATAAACATAATAAACTTTTCTGCTAATTATTAGGTGCAAACAAACTCTCAAAATAGCAAACATTTTAAATCTGCATCTTGTCAATTTTTTAATGGCTCGAGATATTCTTGCTTTTTGTTGTTATTATCCATTCCAAAGCCTCTCAACAGTCTTTTGATTTTTCGGAATGGATCATTAACTTTTAGCTTTAAAACCTCCTCCTTTGATTTTTCCAATAATGACCGTAAAACTTCAGTTGCCTCCTGCCAATTATCTTGAGCTTTGTCCAATTTAATGTTTTCTATCTATTGTAACGGTGATCGGCGAGTCTGTCGCTAAGGAAAGTTCAATTCGCATAACGATAGTAAGGATTTATGGTGAGGCGGAATTGATTATGGCCGAGAAATAATAACTTGGCTTCCTTTATTTAATTTCTTCTTTCCTTTATACATTCTTGCATTAATTACATAATAAAAATGATAAATACAAATTAAGTAAAACTATAAGAAATTCTCATGACGAAGTAATCGCTATTTGATTTTCACGCTACTCTTATTACATAATTCTATTGTTCTATTGTTCGATCTCATAGTGCCATGATCGATCCTTGCACGACTCAGTCACGTGGCAATCGTTGCGATTGTGTCGTGATCCGACTTCCTTCTAACAGTTCCCATCTTCTCAGGTTTACGCTAGTTTCTATCACGCTCATTGTGCTTGATACCGCTGTTTTCTCCCCAATATCGTGGGAAACTCAGAATTCCGTGTGAGGTGCGTTACCTTTTCCCATGTTACACTATATACTATCAAATTCGATCGCTATCGTTTTCCCTATACGTATTTGTTCTCACTAAATCAATTGATTTTCCACCAAAATTAGATTTCTGTGAATACACCTGAAATTCTGATTCAATATCTGTGTGAAGAATGAGAATTAAAGTATCGATAAAGACTTGTTTCAATGCCTCTTCGTTTAAATGTTTAACACCGTTATCTTATCATTTGATGGATTAACCCTCTATAAATCGACAGAGGTTCAATGTTATGCTCCGCCTCCAAAATCTGCAAACATTTCCGTACAAGCATTAAACCCTCTTCCTTCCAGTCATAAATCTTAAGTGCCACTGCAATAAATTCTTTTTTAGCAATACGATTCGAGGTTCGAAAACTATGCTGGAATGATGTGGGGACAGGTTGGGTTGATACGTGATGGCTCAGTATAGATAATAATGGAGTATGATCAGTTGCTAGCTCGCGAACATTAGCAAGTCGAAATTATTATTCTATGCCATTCTAGACTCGAGAGGGTGTTGATTAAGTGCCTCGGTAAGGATTGATTTCCCAAGGGGATAGTTGACAATTAAGTCCAAAGTTGTTTGAGAGGGCTATGTTTGCGGATCAGATTAAAAATTAAGAAGCGTTTTAAGGACAACTGAAGAATAATGATATTTTATCCACAAATTCTTCCTTTTGTCTCATCAACATTTCGATACAGTACAGTAACAGGACACGTCAGTGTTAAAAATCCCTTCAGGTTGATCACTGTGAAAAAAATACTATAACACGGGAAAAAGTAACGCGCCTCACACTGAATTCTGGGTTCCCACGATATAGGAAAGAAAACAGCGGTATCAAATACAATGATCGTGATAGATTATTAGCGTGAGTCTGAAGAAAGGGGAAATGTTAGAAGGAAGTTGAATCACGACACAATCGCAATTATTGCCACGTGACCTTGCCGTGGGCACTATGGGATCGATTAATAGAATTATGTAATAAGAGTAGCAATAACAATTGCTTCGTCATGAGATTTTTTGGTTTTTTCTTAATTTGTATTTATCATTTTTATTATGTAATAAGTGTGCAAGAATGTATAAAAGAAAGAAGATAAAGGAAGTTAGGTTTTTCGGCCAACATCCAATCCGCCTCACCCCTAATAAAATACCATTCTTATCTAACAAACGTTACGCAAATCTTAGCTTTCATTAGCGACAGACTCGCCGATCACCGTTACAATACCCATTATTCTCCTTTTAATATTAGTACTGATAAACTATTTCCAAAAGCCTTATCCAAAGAAACTCAATTTACTATTTCTTAAAACCACATAAATCCCCAATTTCTTCTTTTAACATTAAATCTTTCGAAATGTTGAAGCCCGAGATGAATTCGGCCATAAAAACAGGAGTCCCACCAGTTTGGATAACACAAGTTATGCTTCATCACAAGCAAACTTCAAACGACTATAAAATTGTTTAAACGAGCTCTCAATTTTTTCGGTATTACCTTGAACTAAAGAGCTATTATAAGTAATAAGAGTTGTAAGACGGTTTCGTTTTTAAGGGTTTCGTTCATACCAGCATCATATTCATTGCTGAAAACATAGAGCTAATGGCACGAAAAAATATTGGGTTTATACTTTCTTTATTTTCCTTATTTAATAGAGATGATAAATAAACAAGAAAAAAGTATCTCGTGGTCACTCCGTTTTATAGCATTTATTAACCTTTAAAAATTTTCCAAAAGCATCTGTATTTTCGTCAATAACTTGAAAATGGTATCCTAACTCTTGTTTATAGTGATCCATAAAGTCTGATATACTCATTCAAAGTTGTGTGAAAGTTCACACTGAAGACACCGAATGTTGAATTGGTACGAATTCCAGCAAAATTGAGTTTTAGAGAGAGGAACGAGTATACTGATTTTGCAGGGTTTTTGCCAATGTATGAATCCCCGAAAAGCATTTGAATCATTCTGTTTTTTATGTTATAATAAGAGGATAAAGTAGAGAGGAATAAAAATGACGAGGACATAGGAGAGTATCGCACAAGAATTAAGATTCTCTATTTTAGAGATAAAGGTCATATTATTCAAATAATGACCACCTTCTATCTTAAATTAACGAATGACGCTACTGAAAATATTTTAAGGGTTTTCGAAGATAGTGCATTTGATAGGAACCGAGGAAAGGGTGAAAAGAAGAACGAGATCAAATGAGTTTTCTTAGAAATGCCGTTACACATAACACTTTACTGTAAGGATGAGAAAACAAATGATCAAGTGTGAACATACGTTCACATATCAAGAAAATATGTGGCGTAATAATTGCCTAGCCCAAAGTGTGAATCTATAAATTTATGATAATAGCGTTGCTCTATGATTAACTATGTTCCTTCGCTTTTAAAACTTTAACTATTACATAATAAAACTCGTCTACACTTAACCTTGAAATCAATGATGTGTAAAAGTCTTTAACATAATTTATTTTATCTTTTCCCAATACTATTTAAAGGTTTAATCTCACTAATTTTATCCTAATTAGAAAACAGTTCCCGAATTTTATTCAGACGTGTCAATACTATATTATATTCTTTTCGATAATTTTTCTTATTTGTATGCCATAGCTTAGTTCTAATTAACTTTTTTTACAATGTCCTCAGACAGGAAAGACAACCTTTTTCTTTATAATATGGATATGGTTCTTTCGGTTTTTTATGATCTTTTGAATTATCAGATCAGGTTCATATCTGTTTTAATTTATGGATTCTGAATCAGAAATGGATGAGTTAGTCTTCGTCCTTGAATCAGATTAATATTTTTCTCCTAATTTAGGCTCTCGAAAGTCTATAACGAAATCACGAATGAAATAGTATGTTTCGAATAAGACTACGGTCAACTCTCAATAAAAAAACTGTACAAATGGTCTATATATGTTGACTATCGAAGCACTATTGAAAGTAAAAGAAAATCTGATACACGGAGTTTTCGAATAAATCAGAAAATTTTTTTAACCGTAAAAGTTTCTACTTATTAAACTTTTATTTTAATAATTATATGGGCTTTTATGTATTAAGTAATTGACTAAATCTATATATAGTAAAAGTTTTGCTAATGTTAAATAATATTTTATTGTTTTTGTTTTTGATTCGAATTTTAATATTCATATGATTTCTAAAACTAGTGTTTTAACAAACAATCTAAAATTAACAATATTGTTTATTATGTTTTAAATTATTTGTTTATTAAATTTTATAAATTTATATTTGATATTAAAAAAACTATTTAATAAGCAAAATTGTTGCTAACAATAAATTAAATTTCAAAATTTTTATCATTAATTTACAATTAAAATAAATTATTAAATTAAATGATAGGTTTTATTCAAATTTAATAAAAATTTTATTGAGTGTAGAATTTGTTATTAAAAAAATATTTACTTAATCAAGCAAAATTAATTTATATATCAAGATTAATTTTAAAAATTAAAAATTTTTTATTTAATTGTTATTTAAATATTTACTTTGTAAAGATTTTTAACAATATACTAAAATTGAATTTCAAAAGAAAAACAATTTTTTTTTTTACTTAAATGTTTTGTATTACAAAAAAATTATAAAATATAATTGTTTAAGAATAGTTAACTATTTATAATTTATATATAATAATTGTTTATTTATTTAATTAATATAAATAAATAAATATAAGTATAAAAATTCTTTCCGCTGATCCTTTTGCCAACCCAAAAAACAGACGTTCCTAAAAAACTTTCATGTTTCTTAATAATAAAGTCTACACACTTTCTTTAACAACAAATATTCCTTGAAGCAGCAGCTTCCCCCTTCCTTGTTTCATCTC